GCTGGAGGAGAGAGAGTGAAGGTGGTGAGCAAGTAGGTGGAGGATGAAAATAAAGTCAGAGAGGCAACAAGGTATCATACACCATAGGATCATATACATCAACCTACCATGTAGGGCTGGACTTTGACTTTTACCCTGAGTGAGACAGCAGACATTGTAGGGATATTTAGCTCATTTAATGGCCATCACAATAAATTTAATACCTAAATCAAATCTCTCTATCCATATTTTTTAATTCATCTTCCTAAATGCTTCTTCCTGGGCCATTTTAAGAATGAGAACTATATCACATAGTACCTTTTAAGAGTCAGTAATTTTTACATCATAAAGACCTTCAACTCAAACCTCAAAGGAGTTTCCCCTAGTGTAGTAGTGTTTAGTAGCAGTTGACAAAAATACCAAGAGGTTAAAATTTCAAAATTTATTATTTTTGTTCAGTACTAGGCACATTATAATACTAGAGTATATTGTCACTACTATTTGGAGATCTGCTGTCTTAGTGTTCTGTCAATAAAGAGTTCATTTATGTAAATGAATATTTAGTCAAAGATTAGATGCACACGTGTAATTACATGTCTATCATCTTAGAACTATGAAAACTAGGGTTTTTGTCCAGAACCATTAGTTCAGTGAAGATTTAAAGAAAAAAATACTGATTCTCATTCAAGAACCTTTCCTACCTTATGAGGACAAATAAAATATAGTTCAAAATAGAAAGCACTTCTTATAAACCCAATTTCAGTATTCAGTGTTCTCGTAAATGTTATTGTAAAAGCTTTCTCAGTGACTGTGGGGATTGTGACATCAAGTTTTTTACCAAAATAATGGAAAAGCAGATACTGGTCATATGTGCACATCCTGTACCTCTTCGTGACTTCTGAGGCTTAGCCGCGTGGCCCCTGTTTGTTGCCCTGATATATTTTTGTTTATTTATGATTTTTAAACAATTTTCAGGAATTTTTTTCATTTCAACCACCAGGAAAATTAATATTTGTACTAACTTTTTATTTTGTATTTTATCATAGCTTATGTTTTTATTTGTTTAACTGATAACCACTGTATTAGTTTGAGATATTTTAATTTCAAAATGTTCCCATGTTCCTATCTCAAACCTAATGCGCATAATATCAGCACCAACAGTCTGTTAATGTTCTGGATTCTTTTAAATGGACAGTAATTACATATGTACTATAAAGAGAAGACAAAACTGCACTTATATGGATTTCTGGTATGATTTTTTTTTTGTGTTTGTTTTTTAGCAGGTCTGTGTGATATTAGTGAAGGGTCTGTAGTCCCAGAAGATCGCTGCAAATCTCCAACTTCTGGTAATGTTTTTTATTTCATGAATAA